TGACCGCATGCTACAGTAGTGAAGATAGCGTATTATTTTCATCCGAAACATTAATTTCCGCATCCATACACCTTTTTGAGCCTTTATAAGTGTAGAATTCTGTGCTCTAGAATCTAACTGAAAGGCTCAGCTCCGTTGGTAATTAATGGTCTGGACGTACACTTTTTTTACTGTCGGATCATCCAAAAATAGAAAATAGCCACCTGTTGTTGAGGGAGAAGAAAGTGGTTGTCTTCGACAGGTTATAATATATTGGGCGGACATTGTCATTGCAGCATAGAAAAAGACGCAGGAGTGATTTTAAGTGGAATGGGGTCGTTTGTTTGTATAAGTGACTGCATGTCTTGGACATGGGGATGTTAGAGCAGGCTCGATTGTAATAATAGCAACACAGCACAATAAAGGTATCGAATAAGATACCCCAGTGATCAGTTTTAATTTCGGAAAAGTGCACGTGAGCGAGCAAAGTGCCAACTCATGACACTATTTTTTCCCCTCCTAAATGGTGTTTACAAATAATAAATAAATGTCAGTTTACATATTATGTGTTCAGTGTTCTTACCTCTGCCGAAATATGAAATTCTCCTTTCTTTCACATTGGGAAAATTTAGGATCGTCGAGCTCACAGCCTTCCCGGGTATATTATAATGGGTTGGTGATGGGGGGATTACGGAAATGGCCGTACATGTATTTCTTTACAATGAAAAATCGCTACCCGTATTTTATTTTTGTTCTAAATGTAATTAAAAGTGAACTTAATTAATTATTCTTTTACACTGAAGAACTATTAATTTGTATGTTAAATCAAACTGCTTTGCATTCAGCATGCCAGAATACAGGCCTAGGTATATAATTAGTATAAACATGAAAATTAATTTAAGAAAAAACCCATCTTATCTGTGGTAATAATATGACTATTTAATCATTTAAATATCAAGATATAAAGTGTATTTATTGATCGTTCTTTAATTATTGCTAATGCACGAAATGGGTCGCTAATATATCTTAGTTAGGTCATGTCGTTCACCTTCCCGACCCCCCCCCCAAAAAAAAAAACAACAACAACACAACAACAACAAAACAAAACAAAACACCCCTCCCCTAAAAAAAAATAATTAAAAATGTAGCCCACGCATTGAAAAATCATGTCATACAATTTTGTCGCTCCACAGAATCGGAATACATGTCGTGGCTCGTCAAGTCACTAAGCTTAAATTGGGGATTAATGAAAATATTGTAGGCCTGGTCTTTGACAAGCCTCAACATTGTTTTCACTACAATACGATAGACTATAATAAACATCAGCAGTCCTATTATGTGAATTGTTATTACAGCCATTATTGTGTGATTTTTCTACAAAGTGCGGTAAAAAATTCGTAGCGCAACTTATTATAGTCAATATCTCCCCATAATGCAACATCAGCTGTAAGGCTCACCAAGTTTGCACTATCACTTATATGTGTGTATTAAATTTTGTCTTTAAAAAAAAAATCAAGAATTTTGGAAACATCTGCACTGTATTCTAGAAAATTCCAAAATATTTTGGCAAAAAGGCTAACAAATAAAACAAAAACAACAACAAATAAACCAAAAACAAAACTTGTCCTTCAGAATAAATAATTGTTACAAAAATTTAAAACTATTAATTGTAATGAGATTTTAATGAATAAGCCTGTCATGCTAACTTAATTTTTTTTTTTAATAGTCCGATTTGAATGATTTATGATATTAGTGGAGAATTTAATCTTTCGCCCGCAGCTCTCTTTGAGTCAGTGAAGAAAAATCTACTTTCACTTTTTTAAAAAAATAATTAAAAAATGAGGTTACTGTAGCCGGCCTACAAATGAATATAGGCTACTATCAATTAGAAAATTATGAACTACTCTCTCTCTCTCT